AAAAAAAAAGAGCTGGGACTGGTCATATGCTCAGTAACCAGTGCTGGCAAGGCCTCCTCAGCTAGTGTGGCCACCACATACAGTGCTCTGACTAGTATTATGTCCATGCTGATAGGTCACTAGCCAAAACTTCCTACACTATTAACCTGATTTTCAGTGTTCTCATCCTGGAGAAAGAATACTATGAACTTCCCTTTCATGTGTTCTTTTGAATGGTTAAAAAAAAACATAATCAGGATCAGTCCTCTTCTATTCTTACCTTATACATGGCCACTGTAATTCAAGTGAGCAGGAAGTGATGCTGTGGTTCAAGTGGTAGAGCGCTAGCTGTAAGCCTTGAGCTGAGGGACAGTGCCCAGGCCCAGAGTTCAGGCCCCATGACTGGACAAAAAAAAAAAGAAAGAAAGAAACAGTGGCAGAGAACTTCCACATTTTTGGTTAGGCATAGGATTTTATCTAAAGTGGTTTTTAAAGTGTTTTTCTGGTCTTTTTCAAATCTTTTTCTTCAAGGTGCCTAAACTGCTGACTGATCTTTGTCCAGAAGAATCACTGGTCCATTCATCAGCCCAGATTGTCAACAAACACTTGGTAAATGCTAATATGGGCAGGACAGGTGTGGGACATTTTCTAGGGGCACTGAAATTTGTCCTTGAGAATCTAGATTTCAATCTTTTAGCTCTGAACTTGCTTAGCTTCATGAAAATCCCATGTGAATCCTGGTAATAAAGTTTCACTTAGAATATTTTCTGTGCTTAAAGCATGGTTCAAGTATGAGCACCTGCCTAGCAAGAATAAGACCTGAGTTCAACCCTAGTACCAACAGCAACAAAAAAGATAAACAAGCTGGGCCTTGGTGACACACCTATAATCCTAGCTACTCAGGAAGCTGAGATCTGAGGATCATGGTTCAAAGCCAGCCAGGAAAGTCATGAGACTCTGATCTCCAGTTAACCACCAGAAAACCAGAAGTGGTGCTGTGGCTCACATGGTAGAGTACTCGCCTTGAGCTGAAGAGCTGAGAGACAGCCTCCAGGCCCAGAGTTCAAGCCCCACAACCAACAAAAAAATTCCAACTGAGCCAGGTGCCAGTGGATCATACCTGTAATCCTAGCTACTCAGGAGGCTGAGATCTGAGCATCATAGTTCAAAGCCAGCCCAGGAAGAAAAGTCCCTGCAAGACTCTAATCTCCAATTAACTACTCAGAAACCAGAAGTAGAGTTGTGGCTCAAGTGGTAGAGCACTAATCTTGAACAAAAGAGCTCAGGCAGGGACAACACCTAGTCCCCAGGACTGACAAAAAAAAAAATCTCCATTAGTCTTAGGTTCAAGTGGCCTGGGAGTGCTTTACAGTTGGTTAAGTTGGGTGGACAAGATTTTCTCTTTGCCTTTTGCAGGTTGGAGTTGACAGCCTCATCGGACCAGATACACAGGTTGGAGAGAAGTCATCCATTAAACGCTCAGTTATTGGTTCATCCTGTCTCATAAGAGATAGAGTGACTATTACCAATTGTATTCTCATGAATGCAGTTACCGTGGAAGAAGGGTATGTTTCCCTTTGTGCTCACTTGAGGCAAGGTTCCTAATATCCCCAGAAGGCTTTGGGGAGCCAGTCTAGCCCAGGAAAGGGCTTACTATGGAAAAAAGGAAGAAATGAGTAGCAAATGAGTAGCACCTAGATCTTTTTTTT